ATGACACTTAGCATGTCCGGCTTTATGTTATTATAGATAAAATGACACTCAGGTATTCTGACAAAGAGAAGACTGTGTGGCACGAGGAGGAGTCATTAAGTTCAAATTCTGTTTCGATAAAGTGTAATCTAAAGTGCTGCAGCCGTCGCGGCGCGTCGTTTTCGATATGGGACCCATAGCAACATACTAGTACTACGCGAGTATAATACATCGATTATTTACATAACATTTGAACTCGCGCTGGGTGACAACTGTAGCATTTTAATCAGAGATTATACAATAGGGAATCAAATGTTTTTTTTTTATTGTTTTTTTTTTTATTTTATTTTTATGAATAACATTTCAAAATAAGAAATAGAATAGTCTCGAACCATCAATATAGGCATCAATTTGCCTTACCCATATATCAGGAACACTGTCCACTCGATCATCGATACACCCCAACGAATGTCTGTTTGACCGAATTTACGTTTGCCCTATTATTACTACTATGACGGCAGATGGCAACGAGACGGTTTCAGTCCAACTACACGGCTTGTCTATGCATAAATACATGGTGGGAATCCCTTGCACAGAAAAATACAGTTGACTAACACTGGCTTTCCAACTAAACAAAACACTAAACAGATTATACAATAAAATAAAAGTAATTAATAGATCAAGACAGACTTCGATTTCTTATCACTATAAGCAAATACAATTATGAACAAAATATAAGACTGTGTTAGAACGTGTAAGTGAGATTTAGCTAGCGAAGGATTGGCATTATACAAGATGTGATAACAAAATTAAGTAATTAAAGATTCGGGCGCACTTAACATGGGGATTAATGCATGGAAACCTGTCTAAACTGGCCGGATTGATAATGTGGCAGCAGCGAGTTATAGCGTCGTATATATTCTCCCGGGTTGCCATGACCACAATTCAAACTGTGGCGTTTGCTCTACACATGACAAGAATACACGGAGAACTTGTAATATATTCTCAGCTGTCACTCAAATGTTGCCGACACATTCCAATCGTTAATAAAATGACAACTGTGGTTACAGATACACGATTTTGCGTGTCTATTTATGACGTAATAATACGATATAACGTATGTGTTTTGTGCATTAAATCTATAGTTTGAGTGTGTGAATTTTTTCAGATATATGTGATGCAATCGATAATTTATGTTGTCATAGAAAATCCTATGAAAGATCGAGCAAATGTGGTGTTAATCTCCATTGGTTTGCTGGCGTGTTCGCTCCGAACTCGCCACTCGGGAACATCTATGCCGGAAAATCTAAATTATCTACCACGTTTTGTGGTGACATGTGACATAAGGACATTTAGAAAAGGGGACAACACATACACATATACAGGCGAAAGTGGTATTGGGAAAAGAAATTAAAAAGCCATGCTACATTCCAGACAAATTTTAGGAATCCATTGAATATGCTTTGATGGGACCTAATTGATCTTGTACAGTGCCCATTGTTTGGTTGTTTACAGAAAGCTGGACCATCAACTGGCACTGTAATTGCTCAATAATTGCAATGCTAAAAACTCCTTAAATATTTAAACTGTATTCACTAATATTTCACTTCACATCTTGGATTATAAGACCCGCTGCAATTTTAGTAATTTGGGCTAGAAAACAAACAGTTTTTTATCATTCCACATTATCACAGTGATAAACATTGTTGGGATTCAAAATTATGACTTTACTATTTCTTCACATTGCGATTGATGAGAATCATGCCCAAATATACCCCTAGACAAAGCCATAAAGATGTTACTATAGTAGTTCAAGGTCAAGCCATGGGCGAATTTTTATGACATTAATGAACATTAAAAATGGGGTTGTCTTGTCGCTGCCCTCACTCAAGACTTTATTATTTCCCTGATTTTCCAAAGCTCAACGTCTGTATTTTGACACAATGCATTCCACTTTGGGCACGACTGCACATAAAACCTGGATAATTACGCAGTCTTTGTTCAGTCCACATAACTTGAAGGGCAACCAGAGTATCATAGAGACAAGCTGATACAGTTAAAGCAATCACAAATGTTCGTTGTTACAAGGTTCAACAGGTTTTATTTTATTTGGAAATATGAGCATGCTTTTGTTTTTGTTTTTCTGAAGCGTATAACCGAAAGGAATTGTGCCAACTTTTGCTCACAATTCATGTTCAATTTCGACCAAAGTTATTCGTCAACTGGTTAGGTAAATTATTTGTAAGTAAAAAACGTTGTAATAACAATATCCACGATGTGGAAATGAATTAGCAAGTGATAGGACATGAACAATTCTACAATAAATGTATAGTCGCAATATTAAATTATGAAATGTATATGTTCTATAAGTTTTAATAAATGTTAACTAATTAACAAAATAATTATTATTGTAAACAGTGACTAGGTCTTAAAATCTTCATTCGATCTAATCATAGTTATCATCATGTCTGAAATAAAAAAAAAGTGGTGACGTCATTGTAGTATATCAAGATTGAAATAACTGGGACAATATTTTCAATATTTTACTTCCGGCATTCTATAAAAAAATTATGTAACAACACACGATCTCTAGCATCAAAAACACGTAAATATTTATAGCATCACTATTCTTTGATATCTTTTGTTTCCAGTCAAAGAAAAATATTATTTCGGAGTGTTTGCAATATTATAAGTGACGAACGCAAACACAACTAAACATTGTTGAACACCCACAGCTCTGTGTTGTGGCTCGGTTACAATGCAAATCTATACACCAGTCGTCTTATTGTGTCTCTTCAATTAAACATAAGTGATTTTAGCTAATCTAATTTCGATAATTTAAGATGTCGCTAATTAAAAACAATGTATATTTTAACAATAAAATTGTTGGCATTAAATTAAAAATATGTCAATTCTTGGATTGAGTCAAATTCGCTAAAATAGCACGTAGCTATCTATAATTTAAACGTTTTTTTTAACATTATTCCATTATATCTTGGTTATATTGTATTGAGGGTACAATAGTATATATATATATATATATATATATATATATATATATATATATATATATATATATATATATATATATATATATATATATATATATATCAGTATTACCTTTTCCACTGCTATTGTATTCCCTTTCTTACATCGATAGCATATGTATATTAACACCACAATGCAAATCAGAGTTGCAATAGTTGCCACACACCCTACTATGATTG